GGCATTAGTTAAATGACATGCAACAAAATAACATGCACAGACATTGGGCCAGACGGTGTACAGTGTAGGGGTGTGAATACTGATTTGTTGCAACCTTTTGAAGACCAAGCCAATTTTATTCGATTATCAGAAACAGTCGAGTACAGTACTGGTATGTATAATATAAATAGATCAACTATGAATTATTTTATGAAAGTAATTATTCTTTAATTATCAACGTAGTCGAATACAATGATCTTGGTGATGCAAATAACATATGTGAACACTGTGGAACACTTTTTTGGTACGAAGAAAGAATAAACAAAACAGTAACTCGCAGAACCCCAAGATATTCAATGTGTTGCAACAATTGAAAGATTCAATTGTCACCAAAGGCGATGTATGAACTTTTTTTTTTTTGGAGAAGGGGGGAAAAAGCAAGCAATTCCTACAAAACATTCGAACATACAATAATATGCTCTGCTTCACGTCAATGGGTGGTAAAATAGATAGAATCGTGAACAAGACCGGTGGTCCACCGATTTTTCGGATAAATGGGCAAAACTAGGGCTGGGCACTTCGGATTTCGGTTCGTTTTTTTCTGTTTCGGTTTCGGTTTCAATTTTTTAGTTTTAAAAAAATTAAATCATTCGGTTTAAAATAGAGTTCGATTTCAGTTTGAAGAGTTCGGTTCGGTTCGGTTTCGGTATTCGGTTCGGTTTTGGTGAAAGTCTACTATTTGAAGTTTTGAACGTTTCTTTTTTTGCCTGACCGATTGTTCAGTTGGCTCACTTGGAGTGCCACTTGAAGTGTTTTGTTGATGACAAGATGAAGAATCATTCATCTATAGTTAATATTTGAAAAATAAAAATTATTAAAACACCAAATGTTGGGACTTACAACTTGGAGTTGAGATTTGAGGAGTTAAAATTATTAATTATTATAATATTTATATATAATACTAACATTTTGTACGCGTGATGCACGAAAATTTATGTCCAACATTAAAAAATTGATGAATGCAAATAATTACAAATTATAGTTCAAATTATATTTCGTAATTCCTTAAAGTAGTAAATTTTAATCATTGTATTTGAAAATTATAGGGATGAACAAAATTTATATTTTACTATTCATAGAAATTTAATTAAAATATACCACGTAATCAACAATTAAAGTAATTATATAATGATTTTAATAAAATGATATATATATATATATATGTGTGTGTGTGTGTGTGTGTGTGTGTGTGTGATAATAATGATAGAATTATGAAACTTTTAGAATTAAATAACAACGGTGTAATAACAGTATAATGGTATTTTAGTTTAACAAGAATGTAGTACGGACAATTTTATTCATTATATTTGAAGTGTGCAATATTTAATGAAAAATGTATACCTTTATTAGCATACAAATGTGAATATAGACATGAATGTGGCTATACCTTAGTGGGTAAAGCTCTTAGTTTATAATCAAATGCATAAGGGTTCAAACCTCACCTTAAACATTTAATATAATATATATCCATAATTATTAATAAAAAAGAAAAAAAAAAAGCCGAAAACCGATCGGTTTCCTCAAACCAAGTACCGATCAGTTCTTCGGTTTGAGGCCAAACCGGTTAGACAAAACTTCCACTTCATTGGTAGTCTACCGAAAAAAAATAAAAAAAACATATCGCACAGTTGTATATATATATAATTTCATGCATATTTATAATGAAACCACATTTGTTTATGCCATCATTTTTGTTTTAAATTTAATGTTATTTGGTCAATTTCTAGGTACGATGGTGAGCAAAACGACATTCGTGTAGAAATTGTGAGTGATATTCAGGAAGATTTGGATACGAATAATGTCTTGGTAAAATCCTTCCGTATGGCACGATCTGAACTACAAAAGAATCCACTGGCTGAGGTTAAGATTAAATTTCTTGGGAAGAGATCAAAGGATGCAAGAACGTACAATTTGCCTCAAGTTTCAGAAGTTGATGCCTTAATTGTTGGTGATCTTGATACCAATATTAGAGAACGTGACATTTTGGTTGAAACGAATAGCGGCCTCTTGCAAAGAATTAGTGAATTAAATCCAGCTTACTTGCCGCTGCAATACCCTTTATTGTTTTCGTATGGTGAGGACGGTCAGGGACGGAGTTAGGATTTGTTGGCGCAGGGGGCCAATCACAATTAAACTAATTAAAAAGAGAAAAATAATTAGACATAGACTAAAGTAGTAAAAATTTGAAGGTTGGTAGCAAAATGACATTTTATTATTATTATTATAATAATAAATACCATTGTAATGTATTTCATTTGCAAATTAAAAAGCTAACTAGATAGCAATCTATTGTCCAGTGTCCATAGAACATAAACTCAATTTGCAAATCTTTACAAATTGGCAAGTCAATTAAGGTATGTACACTTTAACCCTCAAATATGGCAGGTAATCTTTACAAATCATAAGAATAAATAGAACATAGTATATGCCAAACTAGTACTGTTAAAATAATGTGAAATTCAAATGGCTAATTGGAGCTTGAGAGTCTGAAATTGATTAAACTCATTTTTGAAGTACTTTTGAAATCAAAGGATAGAGGAAAAATAACTCCAGAGCTAAGAAAGCAATAGCTCAAAACACAAGTCTATAAAATTTAGTTTAAAAATTTACTCAAAACACCACCAACCACAGGAGTTCTCGCACTAACATAAAACTAACTCGGAGTTTTGAAGCTTGCTTGGGGCAAATTATGTTGTGAACACGTGCCCACAAGGTGGGCACAGTTCCATATCCATAATTTCTATACTGTAGATTCATAATTTCTATATTGTAGATTCATAATTTATATATTGTAGATTCATAAAATTTATACTTTAGATTCCAATTGTGGAACTATGTATTCACAAATTAGAGAACTATATGTTCATAATTTGATAACTATACAGTTTATAAATTATGAATTTACAGTACAAAAATTAAGAATCTATAGTACAGATATTATGAATCTGCAGTATAGAAATTATGAATCTACTGTATTTAAATTATGAATCTACGGTTTAGAAATTATGAATCTAAAGTATAAATTTTATGAATCTACAGTATAGAAATTATAAATCTACAGTATAGAAATTATGGATATACAGTATAGAAATTATGGATATACAATATAGAAATTATAAATCTACAGTATAGAAATTATGAATATAGAACCGTGTCCACCTTGCAAGGTGGACATGATGCTCACAGCATAACATTCCCTTGCTTGGAGGGGGCAAATACTTTGGTATTTTGGTGAGGTTTTAAAAGCTTAAACTTTTGTTTGGAGGGGAGATGCTTTGGTGAGGTGGGCCAAACAAAAAAACAATATACTACTAGTAAAAATAAATAAAATAAATAAAATAAAATTGGGACGGGGCCAAGGCCCCCTACAAGTCACATATACTTCCGTCCCTGAGGACGGTTACAGGGAAGACATCCCCTTCTCCACATTAAAAGGGAACATAGCTGGTGGACGACAAAGGATAAGGCATAGAGATTTTTTTTCATACACTATCCAGTTTAGAATTTCGGAGGTATCAACATTATTACATGCAAAAAGGTTATTCCAACAATTTTTGGTTGATGGTTATACAATGGTTGAGTCAGGAAGGCTAATATATATAAGGACACACCAGAAAAGTTTGAGGTGCGAATCATATAATTGCTTGACTGATGCATTGACACGCGGTGAAGTTGACCCCACTACTCAAGGAAAGAGAATAATATTGCCTTCGAGTTTTACAGGTGGTGCTAGATACTTGATACAAAATTACCAGGACGCTATGGCGATATGTAGATGGATTGGCTATCCAGACCTTTTTATCACATGCACCTGCAACCCTAAGTGGCCTGAGGTACATCGTTTTTTGAAAGATCGAAAATTAAAACCAAAAGACCGTCCTGACATAATATATAGAGTTTTCAAAATGAAATTGGACGCTCTAATTTCATATTGCAGGAAGAACAAATTATTTGGAGCAGTCATTGGAGGTAAGTAAAGGCTACTATTTGGACCATTCGTTCAAATATGTATGTTTATATATTTTGCTCTATTTATAATTTTAATTTACATTTTTTTTGTTTGTCAATTAACCTCTAATTTTTAGTAATCATATTTTTCAACCAATATTTAGTAAAGTCCTAAACCAATTAAACTGGTTGAAACCAAAAAATAACAAAAGAAAAATATGAATAGACAAAAAATGTCTTTACTAAAAATAGAAAAAATTATGAGAAGGACTAAAAGTGTCCAAAAAACGATAGTCTAGGATGTAAAATGGTAAAAACAATAGTCTGGGACTAAATTTGGAATTGCCACCAAAGACAAGGGACATCCGGTGGAATTAACTCTATATATAAATTCACACAGATTGGCAGTATGTTTATTTAATGGTGCGGCAGATTAGCATTATGTATTTATGTGGAACTGTGGAAGCATGTCTATTTTTTTTTTCCTAATGAACTATGATAGATTGGCAATTTTGCAGTATGGGCAATGGGCATATGGCTATGACTTATTTAGTATTTTAGTGTATGTTTGTGAAGACGGAGTCGGTAATTTATCACTGTGATTGTGATTTTAGTACTTAGTACTATATGTTATTTAGTGTGTTTTGTGAAGCCTATGAAACATTTATTTAGTAATTTAGATAACTGTAATTCACTGTAAAATTATTTAATAATTATTGTAGATGGTGGTACATAGTCTCGATTACAATTATTGTAGATGGTGGTACATAGTCTCGATTACCGAAGATTATATGTGTATGTTTAATCGATTTCGGTCGGTTACATAGTATAGAAAAACACCATTGATTATTCGGTTATCGGCCGGTTATTGACCGTAACCAACCAATGCTCACCCCTAGTACCAAAGGGAGGTGATGGGTTGAACCTTGATGTAGACAATTAGGGTGACATTTGATGTAGTAGCTTGTATATGTAATATTCTCCTTCCTTTATAATAATAATAAAAAAAATGCTTGATGTCAAAGATAATACTCCGTAAAAAATAAAAATTATCATCTATGGAACAAGTTTAGGTGCTACAGAAGAAACAAGTCAACCACAATGCAGCAAATAGCAATTTAGTGCAACCATAACCAAAAGAATAGGACAATAGATCTGAATATATAGACACACATCTTTTGAAAGAAGCTGATCAAAATGGCAGTGAGCAATTCAAACTTCTGTAGACAAGCATCGATGAGGAGATGAATGTCACCGACCAAACCAGCCCCGTGGTGGCTGCACGTCCCCATCGTTCATTAACTTGTCCAAAACCACATTCAAGTCAACTGCCTGTCCATTATCTGTCAACTTTCTGACTGTTTCCTTCACCTGATCTCTTGGAAATCCCATGTGTGTCACTTTCTCCACTACATCATCAACAGGAACCCTGTTTCCAGAACCAACAGAACTCGAACTACCACCAACAGCAGAAGCAGTAGGAAGTGCTTGAGGTAATATCCTTGCAGTGGGTAGTTGTGGGTAGCCACTCCCACCACTCTGGCTCATGGTAGGAGGAAGTTGCTGTGATTTCCTTGGGGACCCACTTCCATACTGGGAAAAATACGGTTCTCCATGCCCAGATGACGGGCCATATGTACCAGAAAACCCTGGACCAGGTCTGTTAGATGGTAGCTCATACATGTTGGGAGCAGCTCCGTAGAACTGCTGTGGCAAAGCTCCACTAGATGGCAGAGAGGGTGGTTTGACGATATTTGGTGGAAAGCTCTGCTGTGGTATAAATGTTGGTTCTTCAGTATGATGGCCTAATGGGGGTTGATGTTGAGGTTGAGGTGGTTGAGATGGATTGACAGGTGGCAAAGAGAGGTGTGACTGAGGAGGCAGAGGCGGCTGAGAGTACTGTGGTTGAGGGGGTGACTGATATTGTTGTTGTGGTAGCGGAGGGGGCGATATCTGGAGCTGCTGTTGTAAAGGCATTTGATATTGCTGGCTCGGGATTTCAGGTGCAGGAATATAAGATTCTCGCGGTGGACCTGAAGAAATTTGGTTCAAGGATAATTGGTTAGGAAGCTGAGCCTGAGGCGGCAGGTTCTGTTGTGGAGGGTGTGGAGGAGCATCCAGTGGAGGAAGGGTTGGCAATGGCTGTTGAAGATTAGCAGGAAAATATTGTTGCTGGGGAGAATGTTGAGGCGCAGATGCAGCAGGCTGCAAAGAATCCATGGGAAGGGTGTTACGAGTATCCACCTTCTGCTCAACCTTAGAAACCTGCAGTTTAGCAACCTCCAGCTTGGCTTCTACTATTTCTTGTTTATCTCTTATCACTTGTACTTCGGTGTGCACCTGCAACCAATTTTTGATAGCCAATGCATAAATTACTGGTGAAAACAAAAACATAAATTCATGTAAAAAAATGTAATTGAGTCATTCCTTGAATAAACCAGAGTATAGATTTTCCATTCCATAAAATGGTATCACCAACATCTATAGAAAGCCTAGCATGCCCACATTTATGATGCATGAACAACATACTGATTACTGAAGTACTGTGCATGCAATTATCCCAATGGGTGCAATATGTTTATTACCTGAATCGACCTAACATCACAAGTTGAAAGGTTAATGGGGGAAAGAATGCAGATTGACTATACCTCTCTCATAATATTTTCTAGCTGTCTCAATTTCCCATCAGTGCCGCCAAAATTGTTACCAACAGACAATTTCAGATCATCCACAGAATTTTCAATCTGCCGTGTTCTTGTTTCTAATTGTGATATTCGCGCACTTACACCATCCAGCACATGTAGCAGGTTATCAGTATATTTCTTCATTGTGTGATCAATCTCAGACACCAAGGTTGAATCAAACCTACTTCCATCCTTCTCTACGATGACTTTGGCAGGTTCCATGGATTCAAGAGATCCATAATTCTGAAAAAAAAAAAAAAAGCATATATACTATCAGCACATAGATGCATATTATGATGCAGAAAAATCAGAAGCCTCCGTTCTCTACAAAAGAAAAAAGGGGTGTGGTTTCCTCCACGTATGCAGGGGATTTTATTTTGGAGGCACATATGATATCTAGAATCCAGGATGGAGATATGTTCTATGTAAGAAACATTAACAACTTGTCACTGAGAACAATCATATTACTTAGAAGATATCATCCAAGCATATGGCTTCATTGCTTTTTTTGTCTAGTTCAATCACAACAATCATCCTAGTGATTTTATGGTTAAGAGTACGCAGATTTGAAGGAAAATTATTACACAGTAATATAGTGCCATATCAATACTGCCTTAAACTTTATCATACCTTCTTGTCAGATGCACATGCAGTGACCAAAATACCTTACTATAGTCTTTATTCGAGAGAATAACCATTAACAGGTACTAATAATCACCAACACACAAAAATTACCAGCAACCACGTAAATCCAACTTCAGACGAAAAAACAAGCAAAGTGCAACTTGCAATAGAGATGAAACCGGATTATAACAGCAATTCTCTTAGTTGTTTATGTTAAAATAGCATAGCTTCGAGCTCATAACCAACTTTAAATTGAAAAGCATTCAATGTTCAGCCCATCGACATGAATAAGAATATAAGATCCTTTATTTGCACAATCGAATAGAAACCCTTTAAATTAATCAACAAAATAGGCAAATAGTGAAAAATCAAACTCCACTAAGACTCTAGAGAATCAGCAACACTCATCAAGTAAACCCTAAAAGTCAGAATTTCACACAAGACGTATTGTATCCTCACAAGCACACACACAAAGAGATAGGGAGGGAGGGTTTTACTCTGATGCCAGTGTTAGTTTTGGAATCGGCGGAATTCCAAGCTCTAGCTCCACCAACATTGCTGGAATCGGCGTTCGACATCGGCGGCGACGAAGATCCAATAGGGCGAATCGGATGGAATTCATAGCTCGGAACAATCTCCTCCTTAGCACCACTGCCGTTAACGTCCTGACGAGGGTTCACGAGATCGAGAAAATCAATTTTGTTGTTAGCAGTGATCGGCGAACTAGATAGATCCATGATCTGCTTATCCGTGAACTGCGATGGATTCATCGATTTGCGTATACGTATATATGCAGTAAGTATATATTTACATAAAGTATTATTTTTATTGTTTAAGGTAGCTAAGCCCAAAGAGAATTGAATTGGGATTTTGGGAGGTTTTGCCGTTTGCGTGTTGTTTGGAATAGCGTTACGATTGCTTCATTTTATTATTTTTCTTTTAATCTTTAAAATAAAGAAAAATTTATCAAATAGACTCACGAACTAAGGGTTTAAACGAATTGAATCTAGTCAAATATTTCACTATTCGATTCGAATTCGAATATTTGTATTCGTATTCGTTTAATATTCGAATCTCAAATTTGATTCGTATTTGATTTGATCAGTTTATTCGAATATATTCTATTCGACTCGAATATTCGAATTCGAATTGCCTAACTTAATCTTTTACAAAATTCTCTAATAAATTAAGATAAAATGTAATAAAAATTTATATTTAAATAGCATAAAATATTCGAATACTATTCGAATCGAATACACTCTAATTCGTATTCGAAAAATATTCGAATCGAAAAAAAGTATTCAAATTCGAATCACGAATCAAAATTTTTTTATTTGATTTGTTTACACCCATATCTCGAACTTTACCTTAAAAGTTAATTAGGCCCTTAAATTTTTTAAAGTTACAATTAGGTACATAAACATGTCATTTAGTTTATCAATACTCAATTACCTGACTTGTAATACCAGGTCACTGAAATTTCGACGATTATTCGACAATAAAAATCAAATAACGCAGACCAAGGCGTCGTCGACGAAGGCGTGGCCATCTCTGGCGACCAAATTGGTCGCCATCTCCCAGGGACGGAGAAGGCGGCCATTTTGGTTGCCATCTCCGTCGCTGGGAGATGGTGCGGAGATGGTGACCAAAATGGTCGCTTTCTCGGTCCTTGGGAGATGGCGCCCAGTTTGGTCTCCATTTCCAGTGTCCGTCTCTGGGAGATGGCTACGCCTTCTCCGGCGATGACTTGGTCTTCTTTGTCTGATTTTTATTGTTAGACAACAGTATGAATTTCAGTGACCTGGTATTACAGGTCATTAACAAGTAATTGGGTCTTAATGAACTAAATTGACATGTTTATGTACCTAATTACAACTTTAAAAAGATTGAGGACCTAATTGACTTTTCAAGTAAAGTACGATGTCTATTTGACCATTTTTCTTAAAATAATGATCGATCTCAGAGGTGATTTGTATACCAGAGTAAGAGTTACTATTTGTACTCCCAACTTTTGTTTTCTCTCACAAATTTTAGATGTAGACAACTTTGTATGGACCCACAAAATGAAAATGTCATATTCATGCTTGCCACATTAGAGGGTATAAATGATATGTGAAGTCGAATTTGAAAGTCCCCATAGTAGAACTCTCAGGATAACACACTCATCGACCGTGTCAATCAAGTGAATGGACGTGTGTTGGGTGAAAACTTGGAGTCTTGGATAATTAAATTTTTAGTAATCTTATTTCATAAATTTAAAAATTAAATGATCATGGACAAGTAAATTAAAAGTATTAAATATGATAATATCTACACTCGAAGAAAACCAACTAGTATTAACTCATATTTTATTGATAGTTTACAATACAAGCTGCATATTGTATATAACTTTGTTTCCCTAAAGTTAAGTAATTCCAAAGTTCCTACAATTCTAAAAATACAATAATCTATATTCTATGTTACTCTAATTCAAAGTAATACAATAATTTATATGATTAACTATAAATTCCTATTGGGCATATCATTCTCCACCTCTTTAAAAGCACCTTGCCCTCTTAGGGTAAATGTGAAAATGAGTATAGTCAGGTATGATACTGCTTGGTTGGGCCACTAGATCGGGACAAACAATTCTTGTAATAGTTTGTCTTGTAGCATACATTCTTATACCATGTGATGTCTCGTTTTGGAACATTTTGCGAGTTACTTTTACCATAAAGGTAAATTTTTTTTTTTTCAAATGCATTATTAGTGTAATAATTAATTCTTGAAATAACAAGAGATTTGATTTTGAGTGACAAGTTTAAACTAACACTATAAACTATTATTGTAGTTTTTATTGGCTCCTCTGCAACTAGTGGATATAAGAATCTATTAATTCATCAGCTTCTCAACAATGGGAAGAATATTAGGATTTAACTAATAATGAAATACTGTGATCTACTCACTCCTTGACAACTTATAGATTATTAGGAATGAATTGTAGTGACACAAACAAGTGAAACAACGATAGAGGCAAGCTCGGAGGTGGTGATGTCAATAGGTCCAGAAACCTTAGCTCAAGCCCTTAGTACAATATTTGTCATAAATATTCCAGGCATGAAGCGTCTATTTGGTTGCAACTGGGTCAACGATGCTTGTAAATAAAGTATACTAATAAAGTTTGAATTGTCTTACTATATATCATCCTTTAATATTTCAACATTTTGTATGACTCCTCTAGTCAGTGGCGGATCCAGAAAATAATATGAGTGGGGGCGTATTTAACTCCAGATCTCACTTCTAAGAAAAAATTGCATCTTTCACAATTCTGTGTGAAAATTTTTCGTCACAACTTTAGAATTGTCAATGAAAATATCAAACATCTATAATATAGTCCAAATACATTATAAATTATAATACAATATTTATGATAGACTACAAGATAGTCAATGACCTAGCCAAAACTATACTTGTTGACTACATTAAGTAAATGATTCACAAAAAAAGTAGATTTAAAAAATATTTAATTTATTGAATGATAAGAAGAGCTAAAGTAAAGAACAGAAGCTAAAATATACATGCAAAAAAATTAGAATTAAAAAGAATACATTTAATTTATTGAAGAGTGGAAAGAGTTAGTATAAAGATAAGAAGCTAAAAGCCTAAAACATATAAAATTGCTATTGGTAAGTTTCAAACTTGAGACACTTCATATTGCATTCAAGGTTCAATCCACTGATCTATTGAGCACTTTTATGATTTATACATATACTTACATATTAGAACTAAGAGTTGAGGGGGTGTGGCTCCGCCACTGCCTCTAGTAGAAAAACCCGATATTAAACTAACACATCTATTGGAGTGTTGTGTATGTCTCATATGTACTGGATGATAATAGGTGTCGGATGAAACAGGGTGAAGGGAGTGAATGTGATCGGAACGTATCAAAGTTCAAAACATACGCACCTTACTGAACCACATAAATATTGTCGTTATTTATTTTTCTTTCATTATTATCGTTTATTATTCTCGTCAATCTCAACATGGGAATAATGGAATATACATAACTAATAAGAAACATACAATGTGAGATGTACTGCATTATATTTCAGTTTTTTTAATCGTCAAGAAACTAATCTATCAAATCATGGCATTGCTCCAATTTTCTGCACATTAAAAAGCTTTGGCAATTTTCTCAAAAAAAAAAAAAAAAAAAAAAAAAAAAAAAAAAAGCTTTGGCAAATGTTTAATTATGGTGGATGTCCGAATAGCTCAAAAGATTCGAGCAGCTACAAGATTGGAAGGACATTGGCTTCTTGCACCTTAAAAAGTTTCAGGCACAAAGTATAGGATTCATGTCATTAATGAAAGTCACAATTGAAACCTTCAAAACTCTATGAAAACAACTCATTGATACTAATGGTCCTGGTTTAAATAAATGTGAAAAGCACATTTTCGATGATTGATAATGAAAATTGTAACAATAGCTATCTTTATGATTGGGCTATCCTAACTCGAGCTCTTGATGTGAAGGATAATTGGATTGTATAAATTATTACATGAGTGATTTGAATGCTGCAAAAGACCATATACATATTTAAGACTGCTATTATCCCTGCAAATTTAGGATTGGCAAGACGACATGAAAGAGAGAGAAACTTTTTTTTTAAAAAAAATATTTAATGCCAAAGTGTATTGCAAGGAGAGAGGAAATTGGCAAAATTAGCAAATGGAAAGAGAATTGACAAATGACAACTTTTTGTACCTATATTGGTTATAGGCGGTAGTTTTTGCTGCCAACCATTTGACCTTTTGTTTTTTTTATTATTATTATTATATTTTTAATATTATTTTATTATTATATTTATAATATAATATGAAAGTGGAACAATTTTTCAAAGTGAGAGACATTTGCAGGAATGTAGAGTAAATAGTGTAGAATTTACAAATTTGATAATGTGAAAGTGAGACTCATTTTAAAAAGTGAGAGATATTTGCTGAGATAAGGATAGTCTAAGCTACCCGTACAATACAATATGCAAATATATGATTATATTTCTATTTACTCATAGACTTGCACACCCCATTGGCCTTAAAACTTGGCGCCATGCTACTAACAAATATAAATCACCCAGCTTGACTTGTGTAATGGTGCTAGATTGATTGTGACTATTTAGTAGCGCATACCATAGAAGTAAAAATTTTGTTTGGCACACAATTGCTAAGGGCCTAAGGCATTGGTTCTCCAGCTTTCATTGACACCGTCACATCCGAGACTATATTTTAGTTTCAAAGGAAACAAATTCCACTCATGTTATCATATGCCATGATCATCAATAAAAGTTGGAAGAATAAAAGTTGAAAAACACTTTCTCACATTGGGTTGTTATTGAAAAAAATTAGTCTTTAATCATTAGTCAGTAGCGAGTTTGTAGAGGGAGGGTCGGATTGGACCGACCTGACGGGCTAAGTCCGTTTCGACAGTTCTATAATTGAGGGACCGAGTCATCACTACGGGTATAACTCAAAGACCAAAAATATCATTTTTCCTTTATATTTTTAAGGGTTAATACCACAAATGGTCATCTGACTATTGGGGTAGTACTCCCTTTAGTCATCGACTTTCAATTTGACCAAAACACATACCTCGACTTTCATTTTTGACCACAAATAGTTCTCCGTTAGTTTTTCTGTTAAGTGAGTGTTCAATTTAAGAGTATTATTGTCAAGAGAATTAAAAGACAAAGATCATATATAGAGGGTAGTTCTCGTATTTTGTTTCATCTGCCCATGCTAATCAGGCGACTGAAGCTAGCATGACCCTTGCTGCTTTAATTTTCTTTGTGTTTGTTGTCTTCTTCAATTCGCCCCATAACATTTACTCCGTATATAGTTATGTTTTTAGTACCTAATTAACACTCTTGTCATGATAGTCATGGTGAATTGTGGGGTGAATATAGATCCAATTCGTATATATTATCACATATATTATATTGATTTCATTAGAAGGATGGGAAAAGAAAATATAGAAATTGTGATTTGTGATTCTCTTTTCTTAGGACCAATTGATGTATGTCAAGAGTAACAAAGAATACAAGTATAGCATTACTTGATTTATAATTTATTTATTTTGAATAAAACTGGAAGGGGAACACCCATAAGCACACTTGATTTATAATTAATGCTGCATTAGCATGGGAATGCTGCATTCCCACCGCATTTCCGAATTGCAGCATCAAGAAAGGTATCTTAAATGGACTTGTTGTTAACTATTTTATTTTTTTCTTTGATTTGACAACAATACCCTTAAATTTACACTCACAGAACAACTAACAGAAAACTATTTGTGGTCAAAAATGAAATTCGAGATATGTGTTTTGGTCGAATTAAAAGTCAATGAGTAAAAAGTACTACCCAATAGTCAAAATACCATTTGTGGTATTAACTTTATTTTTAATATTAAATTATTATTAATCACGAAGTATTTATTTATACTTATAACGTTATTAATAATAAAATAATAATAAAAAAATTAATAACAACAACAATAATAAATTGTAAAATTAATTTAAGACTTATAAATAAGTAAATAACACAATATACTTATACCTTCATATTTCGTTTTATATATAATCGGCTATGATAAACCACCAATTTACCAAACACCTTTTTGTAATCTATTAATAATTTAATACGTTCAACTAATGAGAACAATTGACACAATCAGCTAACAATTAAATACCAACTAAACCAATCATCTATTAGCTAATTACCAAAACACCCATATATAAAACCAAGGGAGGGATAGATGATGGTGATTAAAGCGCCAAAGAAACGAGCGCGGACAATTGCTGTTTGAACGAAGAAGTGAGAAGTGAGAAGGTGTATTTAATTTACATACAAGCAGTGTATATGTTCCTCTCAATTCTCTCTCTACTTTCTTACATTTTTCTCTCCGCGCCACCGCCGGCTCAATACACTCTGTCCGGAAACCTAGCTCCGAAGCTGATTACTCCTTCGTCTCTTCACTCGAGAAGTTCCTAGCAAAATCTCAGCGATCTCGATAGTCCTGTTCATCGTTTGATCGAGCAGGTACGCTTGGTTCGTTATCATTGTGAATTACAGGTTTTGATTGCAATTTCCAATCGGAAGTTTATAAAACATTTTTGTTTTTTCTCCAGATTTTGTTGTGTAGTGTGAACAAAGGCCTTAGTGGTAGATTGAGGGGGACAGCATCTGTTGCTTTGAGTTGACAATTAAATAATCTTCGTTATGGATGCTTATTCGTTAAAGTCCGTGCAGGAGTTACCTGCTATGTTTCGTTCAGTTTTCAGTTTCAGGTATGTGTGTTGAGTTGTATGATGATTGTGTATGTATTTGATGCCAATTTCTCCTTTGATGACGTCAGATTTGAGAATCTGTAGACACATTCTCAATTCTGTACTTGTCCTAAAGTATTGCTCATTACATGTTTCCTAGCACAAAACAATTTACAAGTATGCTATACATCCGCTTGTACATGCAGGTATTTTAACTCCTTGCAGAGTGAATGCTTTCCCGCTTGTTTCCTCTCAGACGTGAACATGGTTATATCGGCGCCTACTGGAAGTGGGAAAACAGTGCTTTTTGAACTATGCATTTTGAGGCTTCTCTCAAGGTTCATATCCACTGAGGGCAAATTTATACATGTCAAGGGGTCTCTGAAGACAGTAAGTTCCTTACATAAAGCTGTTCAGTAGGAATTTTCTTGTGTTTAATATTTTTACTTTGACAAACACCAGAGCTTTTTTTCCTTGATTAATATTTGCAGTCATCAGTACTAGTACACTACCCCTGGCCTTTCTCATAACATCATGCTAGTATTGGTGTTTCATGTATATTTCTTTCCTTGGTGCCTCAGTGCTTTTCTCTTTCTTTCTTGTGGTTTAAAGGTCTATGTGGCTCCTTCAAAAGCTTTGGTACAAGAGAAGCTGCGGGATTGGAACCAAAAACTTGGTTCATGGGGAATAAATTGCCTGGAGCTGACCGGGGATAATGAATACTACAACAATAAGGATATTCAGGATGCTGACATAATTCTTACTACTCCTGAGGTCAAATGTTGATGACAGTTCATTTATATTCTGTGCTTTGATTGCTTTGTAAATTTATGGAGTAACTGTCATGTTCAGTAATCATCAGTGCTCACTGTGAATCTGTGATTACTCCAGAAGTTTGATGCTGTGACTCGATATCGCATTAAAGACGGAGGCCTGAGCTTTTTCAGTGACATTGCTCTGGTGCTTATTGATGAAGTCCATTTGTTGAACGATCCTCGTGGAGCAGCTTTGGAGGCAGTAGTTAGCAGGATCAAAATGCTCTCTTGCATTTCTGAAATGAAATTGAGTCCTCTAGCCCATGTTCGTTTTCTAGCTGTATCAGCTACAATTCCAAATATTAATGACCTTGGTAACTATAATTTTAACATTTTTTTTCTATGAGCATGATTACAATTCAAATTTGAGTGACTTTAGTGATAGTTAACACAATAATCACTTACAGTAATATTTTATATTCTGCAGCGGAGTGGCTTATGGTTCCTAACGAAGGAATTAAAAAGTAAATAAAATTGGTATCACATGATGGGTATATTTCTTGTTACATTGAGAGACTACCTAACTGTTGCTGTGTGCTGTACATTGTTTTGTCAGGTTTGGTGAAGAAATGAGACCAGTAAAGTTGACAACCAAAGTTTTTGGTATATAAATGTCTTGACAAGGAAATATATTCATTGCTGTGAGCTTCTTTCTTTCTGTTTAAGAGATCAACAGCAAAAAATGTTTTTATTTTTTATAGGCTATACTCCAGCAAAAAATGACTTCCTATTTGAAAAGGTATGTACTTGTAGAGGTTTCCCCATTTGACTTTTAGTTTGTTCCACTGCCCATCTCATTGACTGAAATTGTACATTCCCCTACCCAACCTGTTTTTGTAAATTGAAGATATATTATCTTGACAAGCTATTAGAATTTCAACTATTATGCAATATGCATCATAGCCCTTGGTAGTTTACTGATCATATTTTACTGTTTATTCTCCAGCGCCTTCAGAACTACATATTTGGTAAGCACAAAGAATCTATATTTATCATTATTTTTTTGTTGGAAAAATTGTAATTTATGCCCCTCACATGCCAATTATCAATGTCACCCCTGAATTTTAGTGGTGTAAATGTTGTACCTCAATTTTCAAAACATGACATATATTACCCCTCCCCTAATAGGAAGAAGGAGAAACATTGTTGTCGGTGGAAGGAGAACAAACAAAGAAAGAAAAATGGAGGAAAAAAAACATGTTCTTTGAACAGGGAAAATGGCGGGTAACCACATTTACACCACTAATAATTTAGGGGAGGGGCAATATATGTCACGTTTTGAAAATTGAGGGGCAACATTTACACCACTAATAATTCAGGAGTGACATTGATAATTGATATATTTGTGAGGGGCATAAATTACAATTTTCCCTTTTCTGTTTTCCTATGGGCATCTATGCTTCAGTTTGACTCTCTCTCTCTCTCTCTCTCTCCCTCTCTCTCTCTCTCTCTCACACACACACACACACACACACACACACACACATATATATATATATATATATATATATATATATATATATATATTGGTATAGTTATCTAAATAAAGGAATTTGTTTGCAGATATTCTCATGCAACATTCAAGAGGCAAATCTGCGCTTGTCTTCTGCTCAACCAGAAAAGGAGCACAAGAGACTGCACAACGACTCACGCAAGCAGCAATGAATTTTGGGCATTCAAATCCTTTCATCAAAAGCAGAGAACAGCAAGATAGGTTGAGAGAAGCTTCGCTCTCATGCAGTGATAAACAAATGCAATCTTATATTCCTTATGGTGGTATGAACTTCTCAATATTTCTTCTTTCTCAAACCAACAAGCATGGGCACATGGCCTGCTGATCATATTTTGTTATTTTTGGTTTGAGTGCTGTTGGTTGGTTTGGCGGTGTGGAAGGAGGTGGGGGCTTGATATATCATCGAAGGAACATGTTTAACAGACTATGTGCATTGTGCAGTTGGCTACCACAATGGTGGACTTTCCTTGAAGGATCGCAACCTTATTGAAGGCCTCTTTCTGAACAGTGATCTTCAAGTTCTATGCACCACAAATACTCTTGCCCAAGGAGTTAATCTACCAGCACATACAGTTGTAATCAAGTCAACACAGCACTTGTATGTGCAGAATTTATTCTTCCAATTGGTCACAGCTTTTATGCCCGGTTTGTATCCTAATCCACAATTTTGATTCTTGGCAGCAACCAGGAGAAGGGTCTTTACATGGAATATGACAGGTCAATGATCCTGCAGGTATGCAACTGATCCTAGAACACTTCAGAAAGAAATGTCTGTAATTGCAGTTGACCATGACATGTGAGCACTAGTAAACCCCAAAATGTATATCACGGATATACTTTATTTTTGTACCTGCTAAAACCCATTATTCTTGAATGAGAAATGGCTTAGTGGCTTCTAATACAAAGGAAAATGACTTCAATTATGCAGATGTGTGGAAGAGCAGGCCGTCCACAATTTGATGACGCAGGAGTGGTTGTAATCATGACCAGAAAAGAAACTGTGAGTTCCCTCTTGTTTGTTGCTAATAATATATGATGCCATCAAATATCTGTAGTCTGCATTAGTTATTTTCTCAATTTTGCATTTATAACTGTGCAGTTTATAATTGCTTTTTAGGTACACTTGTATGAGAACCTACTAAACGGATGTGAACTGGTCGAATCACAGTATGCAGTTCTTAATGTCCCTGCATGGTGCCTTCAAAACACTCAATAATTAGCTAATGGGGCCTATTAATAAGTTGTTGATGTGCGTTCATGCTATGTTTAGATTACTTCCATGCATTACGGAGCACTTAACTGCACAGATTGTTCAACTGACAGTGTCAGATATTACAAAGGCAATCGAATGGATGAAATGCTCATATTTGTATGTGAGAATGAAAAAGGCACGTTCTTCTGCTCATAGCAAGGATATGTTACTAGTTCCTAATTTTTTTTGTGCCAAATTGGATGATCGATACTTTATAATGTGAAAACCAGAATCCTGAGAATTATGCAATGCCAAAGCTGCTAGCCAGTAACAACATAGAAAGGCATCTGCAAGGTATCTATTGGTTACCATGTAAAATGATTTAGGTTCCCTTATGCTTACTTATTGATGACTTTTTTCCCCAGAGATATGTGTCAAGAAGGTGAATGAGTTGTCACGGTACCAAATGATATGGACTGATGAGGATGGTTTCCTCTTAAAGCCTCTTGGTAATGAACTAAAAATGCAGTTTTATGCATTATCGATGTCAAACAAGTCTAATTTCTTTGTTTTGTTGCTTGCAGAGCCTGCGAAGTTAATGACAAAATACTATCTGAAATTTGACACAATGAAACACATTATGCGGGCATCTGCAAACTGTAGCATAGAAGATGCACTTCATATTATTTGCCATGCTGAGGAGATTGCTTGTATCTACTCGACTACTCATACTTCATATACCATGCATGGGTAATTAATATGTGACTAATGAATCTCTTGTAAATGTGAAATGAAGGGATACAACTCAGGCGCAATGAGAAGAAGCTTTTGAATGACATAAACAATGATAAAAATAATCGGCTTCGTTTTCACATCCTCGGGGACAAAAATAAGAGGAAAAAACGGATCCAAACCAGAGAAGAGAAGATATTTATTTTAGCAAATGACTGCCTGACTGGGGATCCTTTAGTGCATGAGTTATCAATGACCCAGGTTTTGTTGCTTCAGAGATGTTACTTTAAAGTGGTTGACATAAAACCTTTAATTTATAGACATATGTGCCTTGATGTAGGACATGAATTCTATATGCACAAATGGATGCAGAATTGCAAAGTGCATGAAAGAGTACTTTGTATACAAGAAAAACTACATAGGAGCTTTGAGTTCAGCACTTCTTGCCAAATGTTTGCATCAAAAAGTATGGGATGACAGTCCATACTTACTGAAGCAATTACCTGGCATTGGAATGGTCACAGCAAAGGTATGTAGCTTAACACATTATTTGAAGTATTTATTTTCTTTAAGAGTACTTGGCTCATATGCTCATCTTTGTTGTGCTTTGATGAAATTCCTCAGGCACTGAATTCCATGGGTGTAAAGTCTTTTGAGGCCCTTGCCGATGCTGATCCAAGAAAGATTGAGATGGTTACTGGTCGTAAATATCCATTTGGAAACCATATAAAAGGGTCATTGTTATCACTTCCACCAAAAATAGAGATGGAAGTAAAGGAAACTGAGAGCCAAAGACAAGGTAAGTCCAAGGTTGTCATAACATTGACAAGGATGTCTCAGCCTGCATTAATGACTAAAGGATACTATGCCGATCTGGTACGTCATCCAGGGATTATGCATTACCTCGGTTACCTCCACATGATATTTTATTTTAATTTTCGTCTTCGGTATCATAGCTTTACATGCCAGTTTTGTAATTGAAAATTATCTCACAGGTGGTTGGCTTGGAAGAAGGTAACCTGATTCTATTTCATGAAAAGATAAGGTAATGCAGAACTGCTTTACAGTAAGATCCTATTGATATATGCTATGTAAAGCCTTAATCATTCAAGACAGACAAGTTTTTTTTTACATAGCATAGGGTACACTAGTGCTGTTTTTCCCTGAGCATTGAATCTGACATCTACCCTTGAAGAAAAAGAAAAAGCAACCAAGAAAAAATAGCGCTGCTGACCTGAGTCTTTCTTTAAGAACACTCCTAGCTGATAATGAGCAGTCAGGAATACCTTTGTCCGTGACTGAGTCAATATATAATGTAACTGTTTAAATTTTTTGTCCTCCAGTTTGTCACCTTTCAATTTTACATTTAAATTTCAAGAGAAATCCATACCTATTTATATGTATCTAAAATCCTTCTTTCCTTGCTGCAGAGTGCATGACTTTCCAAGGTAATCTTTGGTCCTGACATTTTCATTCAATAAGTGCAAAAGCTCGTGACAGCTCACCTTATTTGTCATAATTTTGATAAGCTCATATTGTTAGTTTTCTTTGATAGCCCATATAGTGCAACAGTTATAGTGCCCAACCCTCAGAAAAGGAAGCTGACTGTGAAAGCAGATCTGATATTTGATGAATTCAGTAAATTTCTCTGGCATCTAAATGATAAGACACCAGTTTGTATATAGATATGATGATATTCTTCTAAAACATTCATTTTGTTGTCTGTCCAGTTGGTGTCGATATTCATCAGAAGGTTACAGTGATGAAGGAGATGAACCAGCATATTAGTAATAAACACAAAACAAGACAGAATCCCTCCTGTCAATTGAAGGATGCATATATGCTAGAAGATAAGAAGGATTCTACTTCTGAAGCTCCAATTCAAGAGCCAATCAATGTAGATGAATCTGAAGGTTTTTTTGACATGTAAGTGCTGATCTTTGACTCTGTTAAATGGGGCTATAGTCTAATTGTACGAGTACTAGTACTAGTAGATAAAATGCCCTCAGACGTACTCCTGTGATTTATCAGTAACTAAATTCCAGTTTTCTGTAGCCAGGCCAAGTTTCACACTTATACATGAAGAGCCAGAGGAAGGTAGAGAGCAAATTCTTGCACTATGCACATTTTATTGTCCTCTAGATTACTAACTTTTAGTGCTACCTTCCCCAAGAAGTTGTAACTGCTGTTGGCATTGAAGATGATGAATGCAAGATCATCACTGAAAGAACTATATTTGATCACATACGTGAAAAAGCGAAGAGCTTACCTCCTTTGGGCAAGTTGGGTGACACATGTTCCACTTCACTAGAGACGTTGGCTCTTATTAGAAAGCGAACTCGGGAGAGACTGCTTGCAGTTGAAAATCCAATAGAAGTATTAGATGAAGGAATAAATAAAGTTGCCCGTCACAGCATGGCCATTCAATCTGCTAGAGCTCATCAATTAGAAAAAAGTTTCTCAGACAAAGATGCCACTTCAGAAAGTCACTACATTTCTAAGGACAATAACCCTACAAATGACACAGGTAAATTTACTTCTTGTATGCTACGTAGCACCTTGTATTATATATACATCACTTTGCATATTATTATGCGTTGTTTGACATGGAGAGTACATCTATCCAGGGAAACTTGCTAGTGAACCCAATTCTGTTCAATCCGTTGACCTCACCAAAAAACCAGAATTTGGACACATGCAAGGATCATCACCAATTTTAGGGAGGTTGAAGACCACTGGATCCCAGCTATATACTTTGGGCAATCAAAATTGGTTTAGCCCTCAGTCTAGTCACACAAATTCTGATTTTGAGGGTTTTAAAGCTAGAAAAGCAGAAGTGGTTGTTTTGGATCCTGAACCTGTGGAACAAAAACATCATGAAGCTATAGGAGTCACAAAGTTGAGGGATAATGTGTGTTCTGGCAGTGCATTCAGTAGAAGTGACATAACTTGTCAGTCTTCAGTGGTGTCATCATCTCCCTCTTGGACATCTTTGCCAAGGATCGAAGTTGGTGATTTGAGAAACTCTTCAGAAACCAAATGTAAGCATATTTCGACTCCAAGTTTATTGGAAAGGCAGCGCTCTTCCCCGGCAGCAGTGCGAGACACCCAGGAAATGAACTGCTTCTTGGGTTTTAAGAGTGTGTTTACATTTCTCTAATGGCATTTGTGAACAAATAATGGCGTACGTGTATCGTAATCAGACGCTAGTATGTGGTCCTGTAGAATTATTGATGATGTGCTAGCAATTCGGTGATGGCCATATAATTACTACTGTAGTATCATGTGGTATATATTACTACACCGGATGCACCACTCATATTTTGACAGTCCAATTTCACATCTCAACGGTGCATGGGATTCACAGGTTCACATGATACCAATGGTCCACACCTAAAATTGACACAACGGTACTCACATGATAGCATTGGTTAACATTTAAAACTAAACCAATATTTATTAATGTAAATGTGTAAATGTATTAAAATTGAAAACTTAAAATGTTAATTTAAAAACAATTCAAGGCTTTAAGGTTAGAATTAAGAATTTTAAATTCAACCAAAAAATAATACTCATAAATTCAACTCAATAGAGCTAGCTCAAAACCGAACAGGTGGCCAAATCCACATCACTAATTGCTATGCCTTGAAGTGATTCAAATACAATCACAAAATTAAACACAAACCCATCCTTTGAAGATTGAATTATATTATTCATTGAAACAATAGTCCGTTCTCTGGAAGCACATCATCTCGATCAACTTATCTAACAAAATTTTCTTCAAAGCTATATGCACTCCCTAAATTTTTTTAAAAAAATTAATAAAAATAGAAGCATAATTCAGGCTAATCTTACAAGGTTAGTAACCTACCAAAACTTTAATTTCTTGAGGAAGTTCAATGCAAGAAAGGCATTGGCAAACAGCAGCAATGCAGCATGGTCCAACAATAGAAGATCAGGATGAGCCCTTATGGCCTTATATATTACAGGTGATGGTTCGAGATTTGAGCCATTACGCGAATCTGCACATACCCATCACCTGCAAATCCTGGATCAACACTACTTTGGTCCCCTTTGCTTCAGGTGCAGTTTTGTTTCGATATTATTTATCCTACTAATCCTCAACCAATGACATTACTGGAACTCCCTTGCTTGAAAAACTTGTACACTTCACCAACACCTGATCACCAACCTCAAAGTCCCTCTTCGCACCAGGCTACAAAACAGGAGAATAAAATTGTATGAATTGTTGATTTGAATGAAGGGAGAGAGGGTGAGATTTAAGAGTGGTGAAAGAGGGTGTTAGCCATGGGAAGTGTAATGCAAGTTGAACTTCTGAAGTTAACTTCATCGCACGGCAATTTTAACCCATACTACACTTCTTATACAATAAAAGAAGAAAATGCAGGTGTAACCTTAGCCAAGATGGCTAAGGATACAAATTTGTAACTACAAGGTCACGAGTTCAAATCCCAACTTTCTTGGTTTGAACCGGTCAGCTATGGGCAACCTAAGCTGGTTTACCTCCTTATGGTCCTTTACCGGCTAGGATCACAAGGCAGGGTTTACCCAGTGTACAACCTCAAGTAGTGGCTGGGGGTTTCCCTCGTCACCCAAAAAAAAAAAAAAAAAAAAACAGATAAAATTCAATAAAAAAGAATGAGTGCAGAGATCCCAAACATTGAAGATGAATATGTAAAGTAGAGTAATTATTTCTACCCCAAACCTTCAAGATGAATTGCAAGGGCAGAGCATCAAAGAAGATTACCAAGAATTCAATAATAACTAGGCATACCTCAAAACGATACATTCCACGGAGTCCGCCCCCCAAATCAAGCACTAAACCAAGTGCACGTATCTGATGCACCTTAGCTATAAGCTTCATTCCCAGCTTCAATTTATTAGCTTTTATACCAGTCTCAACTGTAGAATCCTTATTCAAGTCACTCTGAGATTTTCTCGGTGCTTTGGACGTATTTTTGTCTTCACCTTCATAATCACTTACAATGTCAGCAATTGATTCCTTCCCCTTTTTGAATTTCTTCACATTTCTTGAAGAAAGATCGAATTTTGGGGATGAGTCAATATCAGTATGTTCCAACAATGCTTTTGAGTTTTCGTCAGGTTCAGGAGTGCTTGAGGTATTACTAGTTTTAGAGCTCAAATCCACACTAGTAGTTCTTTCCTCCTGATCACACTCTGCAGCACTCCGAATTAAGAATGCTGGTGTTTCTGGAGCAGAGCTCTGCTCTGCAGTTTCATCACTTTCCAAAAGATCATCCCTCGCACTAGCATCTTGCTTTTCCTCATCTTTACACACTTCACCAATAGGAACCCATATATTAGATGATTGGCTTGTGGGAGTCGATTTGCCAATAGAGTCGTCTTTCTTTGATCTAGCTCCAGTTAGAGTAGATTTCAAAGATAACTTAATGTTACCACGCACATCCCGCCCTATGCACATCAAAGAAAGTTGCTGGCCAACAGATACTACATCTGAGACTCGTGACACCTAACAAAGTAACAGACGGGTATGAATATAACATAGGAATCAAGTATGCACACAGAGATGTAGTAAGGAACTGGGAGAATGTATTTGGATGTCTTTAAAAAGCTTATTTCCCTTCAGTAACAATCTCAAAAGTACAAATGAAATTACCGGTTCATGTGACAACTCAGAAATATGTAAAAGCCCTTGTTGGCCACCATTAAACTCTACAAAAGCACCATATTCTTTAACAGAGCTCACAACACCTTTGTAGACACCTCCAACTTCAATTTCACGACCTATGATAAAGTCAACCTGAAAGATGTGAAGTCAAGTAAATAAAATTTTAATGTGAGGTTTCTAATGTATTGTAAGGGTTTACAAATGGAAATCATTGTAGACACCACTAAACTCCAGAAAATCCTTACTCTCACAGGGAAACAAAACATATACTATTGTATAAATAGATGTGGAGAAGTACCTTTTCCTGTACTTTCTCCATGACTGATTGGTTTTTAGCAACTATTGTGAGTGTTCCATCACTAACTGACATCCGTGCACCTGCATGAAGTTCACAAACGATACCAAAGAAATTCAGTAGCATTGCAATATCATTCTTCAAATATAACAAACACTCCAAAACTTTCTGAAACTCAAAATTCATGGTTTACACCACTCATATTAGATTCTTCAGTATCACCTGTTTCTTCTTCAATTTTCCTCTTTAGGGCACCAAGAGGACCAATTAACCGGCGAAGTGCATCATTGCTGTATTTCAGCGTAGCTGGAACACCAGTAATAGAAATTAAGAATTATGAAACCACAGCATATTAAATGCCATAAACTAGAGTCCCAATGAGAAAAATATATTTCAAGTTAATGAACAGAGAAGCATCAATCCCAGGTACATAGATATAATAGAGCGTAGATCGATATCAAATGTCTACTTACCTAAACGAGGAGAATATTTGTCATCCTGAATACGGGGAGCATTTATTTCACGCTCCATGTGTTCAAGGATCTGTTGTCGTCCCTTAAGTGCAGGTTCTAGACTCTCACAGATGATGTCCAGAGGAATTCCAGCAGGTTTTATATCTAATTGAATAGCAGTTATTCCATTTCGAGTGCCAGCAATTTTGAAGTCCATATCACCCAGATGATCCTCCAAACCCTTAATGTTAACCATAAGCAAAATATATCAATTATATAGAGGTAAACAAAATTGAGAAAGATACTTGAAGTTAAAATAAAACTAGATAATAACAGAAGCCTATTAAAAGAAATCTAATTGCAATTCCTGCCCCAATGATCCAAATGAAGGAAAACCTGTAGATTTACCAACCCAGGATAAAACTAGTGTGAATGATACAGATGTGGGAAATGGTAAAATTCTACTGCAGCTTTTAGGTTTCAGAAGTACATATAGTAAATATCACTGAACAACCTCTCCAGTAACCTTGATTCTTATGTTGAACAATATAGGATTTCAGAGAAGTGTAGCCCATATCATGTCTTTGCATACATATCAAAGTACCAAACTAAGATAACGCATTAATTCAAATACTAGATGAACAAAGCTGTCAATGTCCCTATGACTATGGGAACTTGGAAGTGAATCTCTAACATATACTATGTCAATGGGCAGAGCAAAACTCAATCACCTTCACTTTATACCCTCTTTTTTACTAAAGGATGATAAAGTTTTCTGGAAGAAGGGAAAGGGTATCAACTTTACTGAGTTCCACAGGGATAAGGAAATTGCTTATGCAAGTTATTATGTATAATATGTACCAATATATCTGTTAATATCCTATAGTCCTTGATTTCTCCAGTTGATGGATCACTATCACTGACAAGTCCCACAGATACACCTGCTACATGTTGTCTTACTGGAATTCCAGCATCCATTAAAGCCATGCTGCCTGCAAGGTTGGAATACGAAGCAGGAAAATAGAAGATTGATTAAACATTTTCATAATTAAATTAAACCAAAGGATATTTCTGAATAATTGATAACTACAGTCCATGGGTAACAAAGAACGAAAATTCTCAGACAAGTATCAGAAGACTGGAATTTCATATTGAATCCTACCAAATTTGAAACAAGCACTGTGTTTGTAGCCTTAGTTAGAGATAAAAGCATACCTCCACAGACAGTTGCCATTGATGTTGAACCATCGGATGCCATGACTTCGGAATTGACACGGACAGTGTATGGAAAATCATCTTCAGGAGGTAAAACAGCTAACAGAGCCTTCTCAGCAAGAGTACCTAACATAAATCAAGGACTCAGCAATTTACATGTTCAAAATTTCTTTAAAATTAAAAACAATAGTAATAGTCATATAAAGTAAATACACACACACACAGAGAGCAAACCCCATTAAAAATCAAACATTAGTAGTAGTCATCAATATATAAAATAAAAGATGCAAATCACTGCAATTGGTAGGTCTCTTTTTCATTTTTTACACAGAAGTAGCTCACCATGTCCAACTTCACGTCTATTCAGACCAACTCGTTTGCCAACTTCATTAATACTGAATGGAGGAAAACTATAGTGAAGCATGAATCTCTTTGATGAAGGACCAACCAGGGAATCTAGCTGTTGAGCATCCCCTGGGGCTCCAAGTGTAACAGTACAAAGAACCTGCACATGAAATTCATGTTTGGTCACTGAAAACCAGAAAGCAAATTACACCTAAACAAGATGTGCATGCTAACCTGT